TTTACTGACTACATGTGTGCACCCTGGGGCCTGGGGAGAGCGTGCGGGGGCCGTGGCTCCATCCTCCTATGTTCGGAGGACAAGGAGCAGGGGGAGGTGGTCAGGGGGAAATCCTCTACGCCTGGGAGAGCAGGGGGGCTCATCTGCAGCCTGCTACTCTGCAGATCTGACTCCACAAGCCAACCCCCCGTGTTTACACCCACTGCCTCAAATGAGGTCTGCAGAGCCCACTTAGCTCAAGCTACTGCCTCTTCCTGAAAGCAAGGGGCGGCCTTTGCCAAGATGCCAAAGGTGATACTGGCAGTGTTGGGGAGGACACCCGTGCCAACAGAGGACCTGTGGGGGCTCAGCAGCGCCTGGCCGGCCGTCAGCTAAAACACTTCCATCAGCCTCTCCGGCAGGAGCCCGGAGCTCTTGTGTTTTTCTCAGTCTCCACAGCTCTGTCTGTCCTGGTCCTCAGCACCCACGCCCATGCCCCAAACACATACACGAGTGAGCCATCCACAAGGAAAGACCAGAAGGGAGACCGAGGTCGGGGGCCACTGCGTCCTGCATGTCAGCGCTGAGTCCACGACGGTGTGACCCTGGCCAGGGACATGGGTGCCACGAGCCCTCCTTCTGACACAACCCAGAATAAGCGTCCCCCAGCTGGGGAAGCAAATGAGAAGCTTTCCAAGGTGAAAGTTGCTGGCAACTTTTAAGCAACATTTTCTTTTGGTTTCCATTTATTGCTGTATCAGAGGTATTAAAAATCTCTGGCTAAGAAGAAAAAAATAGATATCAATCTAGCAAAATCATAGAGAGGCTAAAGTTGAAAGGGGACTGTGTGTGTAAAATAATGAAACCACGGAAGAATGTTTAAATGTTTATTTTCATGTTAAAAATGATGAGTTACCCTGTGGTTAGAATATACCTTTATGCTGGGAAATGTAGTCACTTTATTTCTGAAATATTTCCAGGAAAAAAAAAAAGAGGAAAAAAAATCCAAAAGCAATGAAGAGTAAGATCAAAATATTCTGGCAGGTTCCATCAGTGATGCCGCCAATGAGCCGTGCCCTCTCCAGGCCGCGTTGCTACCCAGTGTTTCCCCCACCATGGGTTTAGATATTTTTTGAGCGGGAGGTCTGTACATTTAAAAGCTACAGCGTTGCATGCTTTTACTGTAAAATGTATTTATTCCAGCACACCTCTCGGTGCCTCAGGGTATTGCGTATGTTACATACAAAAATATCTGCGAGCCGCATCCTCCCGTAACCTCCACCACCCGTCCTGTTCCTTCACATCACAGGTGATACGCGGTACATCACACGTGTAGAATTTCAATGGGGGAGATGGTTGCTGAGTCTATAAACTATCCATCGTGTCACTTACAGAGACGAGGATGGAGAATTGAAGCCATTTTTGAGACGATTCAAGTAGAAAAGACAACGGTCCCGGAGACATGTAGGAAGCAGGTGCAGCCGCTCTGCGTGGTTGTTGAAGGCGGGCTGGCTAGTTCTTGGACACAGAGCCTTGACCGGTCCCAACACCACAACACCGGGAAGATGCCTTTCCAAAAGGGTGAAGAAAGGATGCAAAGGATCAAAATGCACAAAGGCAGACTTCCTAAACTTAAAAATGAACAAAGTACAAAGTGCTCGTCTACAGATGTGGCAAATGGGACAAAAAGTAATCCATGTTTTCCCTGCATTAACGTGTGCGCAGACACCCTCTGCCTGGAGTTGAAGTCTGGGAGCTGACCCTGGCCAGGGTGCAATACAAAATAGCTGGGAGGTCAGTCAGTCCTCTGTCCGTGCGCACGGGGCGGCCCGAGGCTTGCTGGGGGGCGTTCTTCGGGGACACTGGCAGGGTCTTCTGGCTTTCCCGAAGATGCGACTCTGTGCACTTAAGCTCTACCTCCGGCGTGTGGCGGCTGCTCCTGGATCCTGGGGCGCGGCCTGGGAGGGAGCACATCTGGCCGTGGGGGACACCGCTCTCTCCCTCCCCGTTCTAGGTGGCCTGGTCCCCGTGGGCACCTGAGCCACCCTCTGTGGGACCTGCACAGCTCCCAGCCTGCGGCCCCTCAGGAGGCTGACTGGTGCTGGCCTCGCGGGGAGGGGGGTGCCCAAGTATTCCCTTCTCAGGGAGAGGACGGGGCTTTATCACTTGTTCTGTTCAGGTGACGAATCACACCACTCCAGCTGTAAAAACCTGGAAACTCCAGGCGAGTACAGGCCCCCAGGGAACGGATTTCAAGGTTTCCTAAGTTACATCTTTTCCCTGTTCTAGTTTAGATATTGAGAGGTTCCTATTCGTTTTAAATGATCTAGTTGAAAAACAAGTGGATATAATCCATGGCTGCCAGTGAGCGGGAAACATTTAGAACAGAAAGAGCCTCACTGAAATCCTGGGGAGCTGGGAACAGTGCCCATGCCAAGGCAGGGAGCGAGCCACAGTGCTGGTTCCGCTAAATACTGTATTCCCTGGCTCCTCACTATTCACACACTCACGTGCATACGTGTGTGTGTCCGTGTGAGTGTGCCCTGTGCGGTAAAAGGGACCCCCCGCCCCGTGACCTTCCACATGACTCATAGTGAACTGAGTTTGAACAGAAGCCAGCAATGGTGACCGTACAGAGCCCAGGTCACACTGGGGGGCTGTGGCTCACCCCCTGGGAGGCATCTTCAGGACAGTGGTCAGTTTCCCGCTCCTGAGAACCCACTGACACGTTCTCCCTTCTGACGCTGCCTAGTCTGCACTCTGTCCCCAGCAAGCGCTCAGACCCCAGGAAAGGCTCCGATTTGCAAGCTTCTCAGTAATGCCCCCCACGGCAATGGTAACGTCCCTTGTCCCTTCCCAGATCACCCCCTGACCCAGGGCCTCACTGTAGCAGCAGGAGAAGCCTGCTGTGCATGCGTGCGTGTGTGTGTGTGTGTGTGTGTGTGTGTGTGAGAGAGAGAGAGAGAGAGAGAGACTCACCCCCTATACCAGCTGAGCTTCCTCAGTTTCAGACTCGAAGTTCCTGTTATGTCGGAATGCTGAAGATCCAAAGGCAGAGAACACTGAGAACATGGCACAGGAGCGAGACTCTACTGGAGAGCTACATGGCATTAGCGTGTGAACTTCCCCGGGGCCTCCCCCGCGGGCCGAGCTCCCTCCGCACCGAACCCTCGGTGAGCGGCCTCAGCCTCCTCTGGTTGCCCAGGGTGCTCTTGCTGCCAGGCATCAGCCTTCTCTGTGCAAACTCCCTCCGAAGCCAAAGCCCGGGTCTCCTGGCCTCCCTCACCCATCAGATTGGAAGATTTCTGAAACTTCACTGGCTTCAGCCCTTAACCCTCTTCTGAAACACAAGATCGGCTGGACACTGGCCTCTAGAGATCAGGCCCACAAGCCTGCGGATTTACGCACTGTTTACAAACCCGCCACAGTCCCGTGGGCAAGAGACGCAGGTAGGACTCTGTCCCGTGGAGGCGGCGGGTGGTCATGCTCCCGCGCACAGAAAGCTCACAACAAGCTCTTGTTCCAACAGCTTGCTCCTCCGCCGTGTGGAGTCTGCCGACCACTTCCTTGCCCCTCCTGCAGGTCTTCGTGACTCTGGCCTTTACATTTCTACTTCTCGGCGATGCAGATGGCACCAGAAATCCTGGAATAGGTGGGCTAGTCTCGTGCCCGTTTTCCCAGCTAACCCACAGTAATCAAATGTTCTGCTCTGCTAATCTGAAATTCGTGCTCTGCTTGAAACCATTCCTGCTACTCTTCGAAAGACATTTTTTATTTAAAAATTATGCAGGGGGTCACGCTTCTGTTTTTTTCCGGTTGTCACTCTGACTTCCCAACAGCTATGGTTTTTCTACCTACTTGCTTCTGAAACTCTCCAACAGTCATTTATTTTATGAAACTTGGAAGCAAACCCATTCTTTTCTCCATCAGTGCATACCCTGCGTAGGTTTGAGCTCTGCCAGAGTCATGACTGATGATTTTTTTTGGGGGGGGGTGTCATTATATGGATGGATTTTTACATATTGCTAAGTTGAAACATCATTCTACTTACTTTCAATTTTTTTTTTTTTTTTTGCTCTGGTAAAATGGAAGTATAACCTGAACATATCTCCTACACAATTTCCTTTCTGTGTAATACTAATTTAAAATTCTGATTTCAGCTTGGATCACAAATTGTGTTGACCGGAAAGCACCAGTGTAAGTATGACTCTCTCAGGGTCTTTCTGCCCTCAGAAATACACTCCAGGAGTCCCCCACGAATGTTCCACAAGCAGAAGATAAAAACAAATGTGGTTGACAAGTGGTCACCAAAGTTTGTAAGCGCCGTATAGAAAACTGTAAAGATGGCCCTCCCTCGCAGTATATTAATATTTTATGTAAAATCCCATGTCCCAGTCTGATACAAGGAAGTTCCACAACAAAGAGAAGGGAGGACAGTGCAAAAGGATGAGCTTCTCAGACGTTGCCCCTTAGGTAAGGGATGTGGGCAACGGAGAGCACCTGACGTCCGGCACGGACGCGGCCAACGTCAGCGACTAAAACTCATGTGAAAATCAAACGTCTCAGAGAGAAGAGACCGCGATTGCTTTTCTTCGTGTTTCAAAAAGAATTCCAGAGGCCAAAGGAACCAGGTGCAGGTGCAAATGTGTATAAAAATAATGAGCAGCCTCGTAACAAATAAGGGCGGCTACATTCAGCATCTTTCACGTACATCCAATCTCAGGCCAAGGGCAAGGAATGTCCACTGTGCTTTAAAAGTTCTAGGAATAGAAAAATCAACACCCGAGCCTTTTCTAATTCCATGTGGCCGTTTGTCGCGAGATGACTAACAATGTCTGTGGGGTCAGGTTTAGTAATGTTTGAACTGAGCTAGTACCAGGCAGCAGATACAACTGTCGTCTTAGAATTTCTCCAGGATCTACAGGTGGCTGCTTTCGAGACATTTCCCGGCTTATAACCCAGCTGCTATAGCTCTCCAGGCCTCTGACACCTGCTCAGAAAGGGATCCCCATCCCAGACCGCCCCAAATGAAGCTTTGTTAAATCATCCCCTATTGCTGAACAAACTCACTGCTCCACCGTTCAAAAAACAGAAGGCATAAAGGTGAATACAAACGTAAGAAAGGAGTTCACATGTGGTCTTGCAGGCTTTCCATATAGTCTCTAAGGTCCCGGGGACCCCCCAGCCCCGTGTCCTGACAGACCCACTTGATGTTGTCCTCACTGTCAAACAGGATGGAGTTGGTGTATGGGCCGCCGTCCTCCGGGAGGATGGTGGTGTAGGAAGTAAACTTGACTCGCTTCCGCTTTGGGCCCGATGGATTTATAGGCTCACTTTTAAGGTCTTTCTCATAGACATAGTCAGAGGGTCTGAGCAGTTGACTATGGAAAGTCTTCTGGGAACCGCCGTTGAGAAGGAAGTTCCTCTCCTCGAACTGCAGGCCCCTGTCTATCATGGTCGTGCACTCCTCCGACGGGAGGGTGATGTCCACGGGGTTCTCCAGAAGTTCTACTTCATTCCCAAGCCAGACCCAGTCGTGGGAATGGGGGATGTTGCCTTGCTCGCTCACGGCGAATCTTTTGTGTCTGTATTTCCAAGCAAAGGCCACACAGTTGATCAAGAAGACCAAAATGGCCAGGCAGAAGACACAGAGCAGAGCGTACATGCCGATCTCCAAGTCACTTAACCCCCTGGAGGTCACTGTCAGGTCACTGGGATTATTGGGTTCCGGTAACTTCCCTTGAGTGGGGAAGCTTGTGCAGGTGTCTGGACCGCCACTCTTGAGTGACTTCTTATCCTTTCCTTCCTGGGGAGACTGTGGGGTTGTGCTTTTGTTGCTGCGTTCCTCTTGGCCAACAGAGGCGCCATGTTGGAACCACTCCTGACCTGCTCTCTCCTGGTTTCCTTCACGCTCTATGGAATTACTGAGATGGTCTCTGTATTCCCGACTGATGCCCTCAATATCGTTGGTGCCTCCTTGGTGCTCATCAATATTTGGTTCAAATCTGACCTTGACATTCCCTTTACCCACGGCAAGAATACTCTTCCTCTTGGTCTTCTGACAGGGCTCACTAATCATCATTTCTAATTTAATCAAGGGCCCTTGCCCTTCACCCTGTGCGACCACAACTGGCCATCTGGACTGAAGGTTTGCTTGGACAGACACCACCATTTCATCCAATGATGACACAGTAACTGAAAAATCCTTGGGATCATAAATGTCTAAGGGTGTCACCGAACCATCACTGAACAAAATCCAAGAACTGACTATTGCTTCCTAAGAAAAATGAAACCAGAGCATTATGTTATAATGAGGTCCGTTCAACTGCAAACATAAATATGATTTCCTATAGAATATTATTTAAATATACAGACTGAGAAAAATAAACTTCTATGTTTTATAATCTTGAATAGTTCCTGGCATGCCTTGAACGGGCATCCATAACGTACTACTGCCCCACTGATGTGAGGAGCAAATGATATACTTTAATGAATGCATTAAAGTGCATATTAATTTATTGCATTGACTTTGACCTTTCTAAAAAACATTTTGAAAGATCAGGCAATTTATCTGAATCAAGATCAGGTGCCACTAATCAGGCTACTGCTCCCAATAATATCACTTTAAACATCCTTTATTAGGAAGCCGGGCTGATGAAACAGAACATGCACCGGCTGAGGGGCCTGGGAGACAATGCCTTACGAGATGAGCTCACTGGAAAGGCACGGTGCCACAGTGCCTCGGCGCACCTCCTCATGAGTTTAAAGATGGAGGGGAACTTTAGAGTTGGCAAGGACTGTAAACAGTAGCGATTTGGTGCCCTTTAGCCATGCTTGTTCAAGCAGCTGAAATGGAATGTCCAAGTATCAAACACCACCTGCTTTGGCAGAATGACAACATGGGATCCTCTGGTCATGATCTAGCGGGGTGTGCCGAGCGCAGGCGAGGCTGCGGTAAAGCAAATGGTATACGGACACATGGTCGGTGTATAAAAGCACAAACGAGTGACATGTATCTAAGTCACTGGTATTTTTCTCAAAAAGAGACAGGGTGGCCCAGATAAGAAGCAGAAAGAAGCTTCAAAGACCACCCTGTCCCAGCTATGAGTGCCCTACTGATCTCCTCCGCAGACGTGAGAGGGAAGGAAGCGGTCTCAACTGACCGGAGACAAAAGGACCCTGGAATCCCACCTGCTGCGGGGCCTGGAGGACGTCCTGGGCAGACACCGTCGAGACAATAGCCCTCTTGTCCGCTCTGTGAGGCTGCAGGGCAAGAGACAAGCCGGCCACCAGCTGCACGCCCAGGTCGGCGATGGTGACGCGGTCATCCAGCACGATCACTGTCTTCTCAGCCAGGATGGAGTCGGACAGAGGTGAGAGCACCTTCAAAGGAAGCGAGCAACCTCCGGTCTCTGCTGCACACAAGTGTGGGAACCTCCTAACTGACATTTCCACCAATGTGTTCCCTCAGGTCTCTGCTGGAGGCATGCACCCATGGGAACTGTGTGGGTACGTGCTGTGTTGTGGTTCAACAGCACACTCGCCCACCGGAGGAGTATGACACATACCACGCTGGTCCATTTCCTTTCCTCTGATTCAGGCCATGACAATACAAGTGTATTTCCCAAGAAGAGCGCAATTTAACTGCGAGCCAATAGCTAAAGATTGCCCACCTTGGCACCAGGCATTCAGAGAGCGACCGTCTCCCAGCCACTAATATTTAGATGTGAAAATGGCAGGGTTGTGGGAAAGCGCCTACAGGGCTCTGCCACCTTCTCGTGCTGCTATCCTTCCAGGGGGCAGTGAGCTGTTCACTAGGGGACAACAGCGATCGCAGCGTGGGCTGCTGTGCCACGCTGGAGAGACCACGTAAGCAAAGTGGGAGAGGGATTTTTAATGTCCTAAGAAGCCAATGCCTCTAATTTACCATCTAGTTTGCAACCAGGGGAGACTAACAAATGGAGAGGAATATCCAGTTGGCAGAATTTCCAGAACTGTCCCCCCTCCTCCCGAGGATGTCCTCGACTAATCTCTCAAGCCTGGCTGGGAATGTGATGAGAAATGACTCTCGTGATGATGTTACATTTACACGGCAGGTTCGCTTATCCTGGATTATGCAGGTGGGTCCAGTGGCATCACGTGAAGCCCGTAAAAGCAGAGAGCCTTCCCTGGCTGGTGGCAGAAGGGAAAGCCACAGAGACTCAAAGTGGGAGAGGGACTTGACCCAGCCGTCACATGAGAAGTGGCACAGGTATCCTCCCGGGGGAAAGTGACTGACCCTAGTTGACAATCCACGAGGAAACAGACCACTCGGTCCCACACCCATGAGGAGGTGCGTTCTGCCAACAGCCCGAATGAGCTGGGAAGGGACTCTTTCCCCCAAGCCCCCGCATGAGCCCCGCCCGGCCACCACCTTCATCTCGGCCTTGCGACACCCTGAGCGCAGAACACAGCCCAGCTCACGTCGACTCCTGACCTACAGAAGTGAATCGATACACTGGTGCTGGTTTTCGCTGCTCAGTCTATGATGATGTGCTACACAGCAATAGAGAAGTCATACAAAATAGAGCATGTTTAATCCAGCTCCATCAAAATTAGCTTTGGCACCACCTAAAATATGACTTAATTAACTATCAGTGGCAACGCTTTAAATTTTTTACTAAAAAACATGCTACAGCATTTCTGCATAATTATTCCATTAAAACTGACCAGAAAAATAGTTTTGCCATTATTCTAATAAAATACAGAGCATGTAATTAGTGGATTTAAAAGTTATTTTTAGTACAAATACAGGCTATTTAAAAATTTTCTGTCCATTGTTCAAAGTGTAATATATAGCTAAGGGGTTAACCCTCAAGGTGGGAAAAATAAAACTAGTTCTCTCAGGTTTGACCACCTTCTGTTAGTGATATACGAGGAGTAAATTATATGGGGGAAAGGTTGCTTCCACTGTGCATTTAATTTAGCTTTGGTGAAAGAAATTAGGTATTTTTTTCTCAGCCCTCCCAAAAATGCAAAAATTAATTTACCTTAGATTACTAAAATCGATGAATTCTCTTTTTGCTGCTCAGGATGCTCTTATTCACGTGCACCTGCGCACACGCACACACACGCGCGCATGCACGCACACCCACACACTCGTTGGTACAGACTGGGGGGGGGGCGGGGCACGGAGCGCATGCCCCGTACCTGCACCGTGGTTATCCCCGGCTCCCGGCCCACCAGGGTCCTGCCGCCCTGGAGCTGCGCGATCCTCGGCTCCTCCACCTTCATGAAATCGGCCACGAGGTCAGTGATGTCGAACTGCCAGTCGGGGCCCAGCATGTAGCTCAGCGGACCCGAGTCGGGCGCCTCGGCCACGAACTGGGTGAGGACGCGCACGGCGGCGTGCTGGTACTGCAGGGAGCATCCCCGGCCCTTCTTCTCCTCGTCCTCCTCGTCCTCGCTCTCTCGCGTGGGCCTGGGGCACAAACAAGCCAGGATGAACGTCGTGGTTGATAAGGGGCTTTGCGCACTCGTCTTCCAGATCCAGTGCGGCTCTACGGAACACATGACGTGGGGTTTCTCCCCACCGGACCCGCCCACCAGCGGTTCCCTCACCGACTGCTCCTCGTCGGTGGCCCCGGTGCGCCCGGTGTGCCGCCCCCTGCTCGGAGCGTGGAAGGCAAGCACCACCCCACCTTCAGGGCCCAGCGCTGCCGGACACTCTGCCCCACACAGGCAGAGGCTGGGGCCCCGTCCTGCGTTCTGGAACTCTGCAGTTTGAAACCGTCCCCCCCCGCGGGAGACGTGAGGTCCCAGGTGGGAAGAGCTGCTGGGACCAGTTTCCATTCCTCCAGCCCCGCACAGGCCTGGGCATGTCTCCTTCGGGAGTGACCCCCAGAATGCTGCCCCTCTGCTCCCTCCAGGTGTGCGTGAGGGTCACCATGGTCAAGGTGCGAGCAGGCAAGGACAGCCCCTGGGGGATGGGAAGACCATCATGATCCACTGGCGTGGGACAGCTTGGCACCGGCTCTGGGCTGGCCAAGTCCCTCTGCTCCGGACAGGGTGGCTTTCTCTGAGCTCTCGGAGGCCGGGGGACCCTTTCCCAACCTCCCACCGCCCAGTTCCGCAGCGCTCAGCACAGAGCAGCCGTGGAGTCCTGCAGGAGTCGGGGGCACCCTGGCTCACGGGTCCTCGCCTCCTTAGCCCCTCCTCCTGTGGGCCCAGCCCCTCCTCTCAACCGGCCTGTGCACAGCCCCCCGGAGGAACCCTCATAGGCTCTATTCCAGAACCTTCCCCTCAAGATGAACCTGTCCTGAGTGCTCTGCGAGAGGACCTTGTTTGGTGACCAGTCGACAACCATCAGGTGTCAGGAGCGACAGTGCAGAGATTCACACGCCCTGAGTCACGCCTACTGTGTGCTGGGTCCGGCTCGACGCACTCAGGTGACCACGAGAGCTGACACACATGGACCACATCCCACATGCCAACCACATACATTTGACTCCTTTAATCTCCACCCCAAGGAGGGAGGGTGTTTTATTATCCTGATCTTACAGTGGGAAGCCAAGGCACAGACAGGAGAGGCCACTTGGCCCCGGCCACCCAGCTAGCAGTCTAGAGGCGGCCTCCACACCCAGGCCACTGTGCCCCTCCGTGCCCTCTTCCTCTTTATAGCGGACCCTGTTCATCTTCAAAACAGCCACAAAACACGTCCCTATTTCTCCATGAAGACGCCGGGGCTCAGAGTGGTTAGTACGTGGTCTAGACAGCTGCGGAGCAGTGAATTTACAGACTTCCATTTGACTTCTGAAACCCACTTTCTTTAAAATAGATCCTTCTGCCTCCCTGAAAGGTCCCACTGGGAAAATAATAGGAAGCATTTTGGGTTTCCCAAAGTGAGGGGTGAGTGTCTCTGCTGGTAGGCAGGATGGTTTTGTGTGGTGAAGGGACATAGGATCAAAACCTTGGAATGACATTCGGAAAAGTTATTCCCGTTTACTTTTCAGTCCTTCTGATTACATCACAGGGAATGAAGGTCTCTGGTGCTGAGGGGTCTCTAACGCTTATCTGACACCTGCTAGTCGACTTACTAGAGACCAGCTCACGCAGACAAACAGCAGTATCTACGCAGAATGTAATACTGACACTTTCTTTTCTTTGCGTTAATTTTTACCAGTTGGCCAGTTTTGAAAGCAAGGTGAAATGTCCCTTAATTACATGAATAACACTGAAGAAAGAGCAAAATTATGTATATATTATGGAAGGGGCAGTATCATAAACGTGGTGAATGAATAAATGAAGTTATAGAAATACCATATGCATGAAACAGTTCTGTTCTTTTAGAACAGCATTCTATTATTTAAAAAAAAAAAACTTTAAATTTCGAATTAGAATTTCACAGTAAGCTAGAAAACAACGTACAGGGAGGCCCTGAATGCTCTGCACCACTCCTGTCGAATTAACATCCCCCATAATCACAGTCCAATGCCAAGATCCAGAAACGGATGCTGGTACAAACCACAGAGTTTATTCTGATTTCAACAGTTTAACCAGGACACATGTGTGAGTGCACGTGTGTGTGTGTGTGTGTGTGTTCCTATGCAATTCTGTCACCTGAGGACTCATGTAACCATCACAACAATCAAGGCACAGAACTCGTCCGTCCGCACAGGGGTGCCCGGGGCTCCTCCTTCATACTCTACACCATCCCGAACCCATGGCGACCACCAGTCTGTTGTGCGTTTTCCGCATCTCTGTAAAAGGGACCATACAGGATGTAAGCTCTGAAAATGCTAACAAGGGTGTGGAGTCACTATGTGACCCATTCATCGCTGCTGGGAGCGTGAAATGGGACAACCTCTCTGGAGAATAGTTCGGGAGCTTCTTTTAAAACTAATGCCCTATTCATACGACCCAACAATTACAGTCTTGGGCACTTTCCCCAGAAGATTCATGTGCACATGGAAACTTGTCGCAGCAGCTCTGTCTGTGAGCGCGCCCAGCTGGACACAGCAGGAGTGGCCTCCCGCAGACGGCTGATTCATCACACTGAGAGAGGACACACCATGGATTAGCACTCAACACTATGGATACGGGAACTCTCCTTACAGCCAACAACGGCGGTGGATCTCGGGGGATTTATGCTGGATAAAAACATGTCCATTTTAAAAGGTTACACATCGTATAGGACAGCTACCAGCTACAGAAAACTCTGTTTTCAAGGGGTCAACTGACGGGTCAGGCCCACCTGGATAATCCCACATTTTAAGATGGATGGATTTAGAAGTTTAGTTACACCTGTAGAATCCCTTCCCAGAAGTACCAGATCAGGGTCCGAATGAATAACCAGGAGATAGGAATCTTATAGGGTGTCATCTTTAGAATTCTGTCTACTCCACAACGCGTCACTTCATACTCGGGACAGCTCTCTTCAGTAATATTATCATCTCCATTTACAGACGAAGACACTGAGGAACAGAGAGGTTCATCAACTGGCCCAAGGTCACACAGCTCTATATGGGGAAGCCAGGGTAAATAAAAACTCTGGCTTCATTCTACAGCCCACAACTTAACCACCATGCCACGCTCCACAGATGAAGGCTGACATTTACAAGCAGGGACTTGAGAACAAACAACACAGGGAGGAACAATGGGGAAATAGGGAATAAAAAAATAAGCATACCCCATGCGAGGCACTTCTTACGCAGTGCAACATTACCCTGAATTCCAGCAACTACTCCCTGAGGAGGATACTGTTCACAGGTCCAGGATGATTTCCTCGTCAAAAGGCTAGTAAGTACCCAAGTCAGATCCATCTGAACCCCAACCCCAGACCACTGTGACCCACGGCGGATGCTGCTTCCCCGGGGCCTGGGCCCCTAAGGGCCGTCTGCCTCCTGCAGGGATCCTGGTCCCCGGAGCCTGAGACCCCCTGGCCCTCTGTGGGACTCACCGCTCCCTCGGCTCCTCACCTTCTGTTGGAGGCCACGGGGATCCTCCAGCCTTTGATCTGGCTCAGCTCCGTGTCTGAGATCTCAATCTGCAGGGGGAGCCGGGGCGCCCAGACGGTGACCTCCAGCTGGGAGGTGAAGTGCTGGTGCGTGAAGTTCACGGTCGTGTCCACTTTGCTCTTCATTTCCTTCCCGTTCACAAAGATGGAATCGCAGTGGTTGGAGACCTTTGGGAGATGCAGAATCTCGAGATGCATCAGCAGGAAAACACGGGACACGAGGGGCAGTGAAGGTTCATGAACTCTGATTTATTAGACACCAAGGCAACCAGAAGAACATGACTCGAACAAAAGGTAATTTGTAGGCACTAATTAGTGACAAATACTGATAAACAGACTCCAGGAAAACCATTTCGTATTACAAAATACTGACAAGCAAAACCATAAACATAATTTAATGGAGTTCTATAACCTTTGTTGCCTCTTTTGTGTGTTTTTTTCTTTACCTCACCTTTTTTATGTACTCAAACCGCCACTAATCAAACCCCAGGTGGAACATATTTCACTCTTGCACCATATTTGAAGATGCATAAAAGGTAGCCATATGTTGCTTAAAAAAACCCACTTTATTCAAGCCATAAAGAGGATCTTTTCCAAAAAACCAAGGAAGCTTTGCACTAGATGCAAATCTTTGTAGGAAAATATTCACAAAATGTGGATATAATTATCTGTGCTGGAATTCCAGAGGGAGCATGTTGTTATGGGGTTTTGGCTCAGCAAGCAGGGCTGCCCTTTCACACGCCTGTGTTAGCCGGCTACGCATCACACAATTCCAGCCTCCATCTAGCTTCCCTCTTCCGGATAAACCAGTAAAATGTGAGTGACGTCTCTCCTGGGCCATCAGAAAAATGTCATTTAGGTATGGGGGGAGGGGGAGGGGAGGAGGGTCACTTTGGGTGCAGAGAAACGCACCAACCAACAGTTCATCACCGAATCACAACTGTGAGGGGCCCACGAACTCATAGTCCAGGGGAAGAGCCAGGGACCAGTGATATGACAAAATGGGCTCAGGTCCCACACTGCTTTCAGGGATGCAAGCCACAAACAAGGACTTACCCTTGAACTTCTCTTCCTCACCAGGGTTGGTACCCACAGCCCAGGCCTCCCCTGTGAGCCCCAGATGCTCACGTCCAGAGCAAGATTAGAAATGCCAACTTCCAAACTCTAAGAGTAAACCTCCTTGTTGTTTGAGATAAATTATCATCCCCCCCAGCCCCCCCACCCCAGCACTCAACCCGAGAAAAAGAGTCCTTGAGCATGAATGTGCCCCCAGGAGGAGAAGGAAGAGATGCGCCCAGTCCATTTAGAGGGAAATCGAAGACCAAAAGGAAAATGAGCAGCAGGATGCTGAGCCCTCTCCTCGAGCCTCCAGGCCTCTGGCCACATCCACCTGTTCATGTCCCCATGTCTTCATGGGGCATCTTTAAGTAGAACTGACCAAGGTCACTAACGGGAACATGGGCTGAAATCCCAGTGACACTGACCGGGTAACCCCAGGCCTCAGAGCAATGAACAGGGTGCTGGAGGGCGACCGCATTGGGCTGGCTCCATGCATGGGGCCCCCTGCCCATCCTGTGAGGACTGAGCCCCCTGCAGTCCGTGCCCTTCAGTGACAGGGAGAAGAAACACGATGAACCGAGAAAATCAGCTGTCTTCCGGGGTGTGCCCGAGGAATGTAAGTCTACATGATTGTGCCCAGGATTGTGAAGAGAGCAATCAGAACAAGATCTTCAATTAGAGCAGAAATGGAATGGGGGACCACGTTCTTATTTTAAAATCCTGTGGTGCTGACATGGTGTTGGGCCCAGCTGCCCTTCCTTCAGGTACTCGGAAAGGGGTGGGAGCCCCGCTGGAGCACTCACTGGGAGACAGACCCCAAGACCCCTGACTGCCGCTGGACTCAGCAGCAACTGCAGACCTCCCTCAAGAGAACGGGGCTCCTCACCGACGGCCATGCTGCCTTCTCCCTGGTTCAGCTGGTCTGCACCGGCCCTAGAACGTTCCTGATCCCACCTCCTGCAGTATAGACCTCAACTCTCCTGCAGTTGTGGAAAATCCTGGTTTCTCCTTGTTTATTGCTACCCCCCCACACACACACACACACTCCCACTTTAAATCACCTTGAAACACATCCCACCGGCAGGAACATACCTGTTTTGGAAACCGCGAGGCCCTTTCTGTGCATAGGAAATTTCAGAGGTTGTGCAGACTGAAACCCACCTCATCTTTCAGGCGATGAGGGGTGGCCGAAGTGGAAAAACTTAAATTAAGAATGTAACAAAGTCACAGGCCTTAGAAATTCATTTGATTTTTTTCTCCTGGGACATGAATATCCTTGAAAGAAAGTATATGTTGCCATCCTTAACTAATTCGATTAAAACAGCTCCAATGAGGCCAGTCCTGCTGAATGCTAAGCCCTGAGGTGCACCACATTGTATACAACTTATATCAGATATATGTTTGTTTTCCCCGGAAATGTATATGTTGAAGCCCCAATCCCCAATATATCTGGAGATGGGGCTGTAGGGTCATGAGTGCAGAGCCCCATGGTGAGATCAGTGCCCTTAGAGGAAGAGACCCCGGGGAGCTTACTTCCTCCACCTGCTTCACCACGTGAGAATACTGTCTGTAACCCAGTGTTTGGCTCTCCCCAAACACCCACACTCTGATCTCAGACTTCCCTACTTTCAGAACCACTGAGAATAAATGTTTGTTCGTGGACACCTTATTGTTTGCAGACTCCATGTTCTCAACTTTATCAACTTGCTGACATTGCTCCCATCACTGTCGCGGTCGCAAGGGGGAAGGATGCCGAACGGCGAACTTTGAGTCCCTGGTCCACGCACATGCTCCTAGCCAGGGTCCAACACGCCAACGCTGCGTCCTCCCATGTCAGCCCTCACGTGGAGATGACCACAGGATGGACACGGGAGGGAGCGGGGCAGGCAGTATGAGGAGCTCCTGCGCTGGGGCTCGCTGGGTCGGGGCGAATCCCGGCTCTAGCACGGGTCGTCGGGTGGCCTCAGGCAAGTCGCTTCACACTTCCCAGCCTCATTCCCTCTTTTGTAAAATAAAGAGAACCTCACAGGATGAGTTTTTAGGATTTCAGATTATGGTGTAGGTGAGATGTGTGCGTGTGTGTGTTTCCTCCCGAGGGTTCAGTATTTGCTTAATCAGTGTCTACAGTGACCTTACGGGGCATGGCTCCCACGAATAATGAGAACGGAGATAGCAGGCACCTCCCGTTTACACGGACCTCCGTGCCTGCAGCCGTCTCTTCTCCACACACAGGCCCACAAGAACTCTGCGAGGCGGGCATCATGATCCTCACTTCCCCTGCATCGAATCCGGAGTAGAAAAGAGAGTTCCACTTGCCCCGGGCTCTGGGGGTCTGTGTGCAAGGATGTGAGCCCTCGGCCCCCATTACGGCTGGCCCCTGGCCCAGGGCTCCTTCCTCGTCCTGCTCACGTCAGGCCTCTCCAGCCACTTCCTGTCCACACCGGGTAAAACCCAAACTCCCGATGATGGCGTACAGGCCTGACGACCCGGACCTCCTCCTTCTCCATCAGGGACACCCCGCCCCCGGCACAGGCTCCCTCCTCGGGGACCTCCTCCTCTCCCTGGAGCTCTCCTGGGCTCGTCCCCCTCCCAAGGCCCTGCCAGGACCTGTCCATGCCTGAGATCTGCCTCTTGTCCAGGTCTTGCCTACTGGCCATCCAACCACACGCCAGCACGTCTGCCCCAACATACGCACACCTTCTTCCTCTCCAATAGGACTAAGATTTTACTCGGAAAACCCACGGCCCCCCATCCACCATGGGCCCCGCCAAGCCAGTCATTCTACCCCATTCTCCTTGCCAGTGATTGGCTTAGGGAAGACAGTGTGACACAGTTCTGGCCAATGAAGTTCATTCTATCCCATTCTCCTTGCCAGTGATTGGCTTAGGTTAGACGGTGTGACACAGTTCCGGCCAATGAGGTTCATTCTACCCCATTCTCCTTGCCAGTGATTGGCTTAGGGAAGACCGTGTTACATAGTTCCGGCCAATGAGGTTCATTCTACCCCACTCTTCTTGCCAGTGATTGGCTTAGGGAAGACTGTGTGACCCAATTCTGGCCAATGAGGTGTGAGAAGCTCACGGGGATGCCGGGAAGGGTCTCCTTGCTCCGAGAGGCACAGGAAGCTGCCTTCCTTCTCCTACTGGATGTTGTCACCCCACATATGATACGAGGGACTGCAGCAGTGACCTCAGAGCCGTGAGGGAGCTGGCCACGGACCAGGCTGACGCTGCGAGCATGGAAGCACAGAAGGGCAGAAGCAACCACGTCCTCGGACCAGGATGGACCACAGGACCAGTCCACCTGTAACCACCCAGCCACCCGCCTTCTTATCCAGGTGATTTACTTTCTCTCGTTGTTACGGCCGTTTGGTCCATGGTTTTCTGTTATTTGCCACCCAAAGCAGCATAAATCTTATAGGACAGCTGGGATGTCACTCCACCCAAGGCGTTCCTTGAGTCACCTCTAATTTACACTTGGCACTCCCTCACCTGGTCACTTTGCACCTTCAGTACACTGTTTTCCTCGGATTTACTGGGTGTGCTCCTGTGTAGACTATAATCACAATATGTCCGCATCGTCTATAGCGTATCACTTACAACATTCCTGTCGCGCGGGTCACAGGGCTTACCCCGTACTGATTACACCAGATCACTCTACCTATGCAACGCTACACCATTTACCTCTCATTACCTAGCACCATCTGAATGCTCCTGCTTGTTTTCTTGTTCTTGTCTCTTCCCCCATCTGGAGGTGATCTGCTTGACAACATGGACCCGTCCCCTCTTAACTGCTGGGTCTCCACATCTAGCACAGCACATGGCCCCCTGAGGTGTTCAACAGATAGACACTCAATGGGAAGAGGTCTCAATGGTTTCCTCTGGGTGCCCCCAAGAGAAGCACGTCTGAGTAAGAAGGGGAGGAGGGGCCTTAGACAAGGTCATCATGTCAGCGGCATTCAGACAAAAGAGGAGACAGACCAGGAGGAGAAACAAAGAGCAAAGCTCAGGAAGTCACAGGTCAAAGAGCTGACACATTGGATTCGTAGTATGAATGTGGCCTTTTGGCTAGGAACTGAGATCTCCGTGTCATGTCACACGTGTGTG